CTGAACTCAACAGTGAAACAGTAGAACAAGGCAGGTATAGGGATTCGCCTTTGTTGCTAAGAAGATGGATGTTTGCTGGCACAGAGCTTTGAATCTGGGTGTTCCACTGTCACTAAAGCACTGTCCTCCTGTGTGAAATCACTCAAAGCTGCAACTATTGTAACCAGACAGGCCAATTACTAGTCCTGCAGCCGCTGAGTGATGAATGTCGTCCTCTTATTCACTCGTGGGCACATAAACCTGTCTTTGGCGAGAGATTTAATGCGTCTTTACATCTTGTTTGAGTTGCGTCATCTGAAGATAAAAGATCAGGTACCATGTCATTAGAGTAAATGCTCTCTTGACATCAGCATAATAGGACGTACGCCGCGCTGCAGGTTTGAGGTTTCACTTACTTGATTTCATTCCACATAGCTAAGTGGAGTGCAGTGTGCTCATCAGATTTCTGACCTCAACTTCTGTCCTCTTTACTTTAAATTGTATTCACAAATACAATTATTGATTAAAGCAATAATTAACGAAGGATTAAACCTCAAACCGCTGCTCATTTGTCTCCACTACATGAGATGGTAGAATGAAATATTTTAGTTTTAAATACAATTGTGGTTTTACACTTAAGAATGTTTTTCCCAAAGGGCACACAGCTCTCCATGGGACACAGTTTTCCTTGTGTGCAGCTCTCAGTAAGTGTGACCCCTCACCCACCCTTTGCTTTCCTTTGCTTTTACCAGTCAGCATATATGCCAGTTTTAATCAAGTGTGTTTCCAGAAATAAGATGCACAAAACAACTTTATTTCTCCCATTAGACACAACACTGTTATCGTTGTAGCAATAGTAATATATGCAATAGTGGATTTTTGATTTATATACCTGGAAGAGGGCGACCAGTTTATGCTCCTATTTAAAAAGATTGGGCCATGCATGACCTGATGTTGTCTTGATTGTGTTTTTTCAGAAACTAGAGGATTTTACTTTTCAACTTTTTTACATTATACATGCCCTACAGTTTTTCCATTACAAATACACAAAGAGTTTGAGGAAGAAAACACTATCTTCTAATTTAATTGTTAGTGAGTAATGGCCATCCTCTGAAAGCTTCAACTGTAGCTGTGTTGTGAGTAATGGATACAAGCTTCAGATTGGCCTAATGCAACCGTGATTTAATATAACAGCTGACAAAGCACTGTGGCCTGGGGAGGTCCGCCTTTATTGCTACATGAGGAAAAACAAAAGATTGTCTTGCATGTTACTTACAGAGTCAGATAAATTTGCAATCCAAGCTTTTTTTTTAAGTCTAATGTTTCCTCAGAGCAGTACAAAAACAAGAGAACATACTGCCACATGTTTATGCCCCAATGATCTAAATGTAGGCCAATAAAACTGTAGAAAAGAAATCACCCTGAAGCGCAAAGCTGCAGCTCCACACAGGCTCCCAGGAAGTACAGTTCAGTGTCAGATAACAATGTTGCCTTTTATCACAGGATATAATGATGCAACCTGCCAGTTACAATAAAACCAACATGCATCACGTGTTGGGCGGTCATTGATTAATTTCAAATACAAATGAATACAGAAGATATTTGATAGTTGGGAAATTTGTATGATCTTTGCTTGACAGGATCAAGTTTGCCTATATGTGCATCCATCCAGGGGTCAGATGCTTATGCTCCCACTGAGGTTAAGCATTGCCCATCCATGATAATCCCCATGAGGAAAATGTGTATGTGTGTGTCTGTGAGAAAGAGAGAGAGAGAGAGAGAGAGAGAGAGAGAGAGGGAAAACAAAGTAGTGACTGCACATCAGGAAACACAAACAGCTTTTCTCCAGTGGCTGGGGTTAACAGAACATGTGACTGAAGCTGCAGGACCATGGACAGCGCCTCAGTTAAAACTCACCTCATTCTACTGAGTTTTCCTCTGAATCATTTAAAAGATCTCCCTATCAAAAATACCCATCAACCCATCCATCTATCTGTTCATCCATCTATCCATCCATTTTCTGCTGATAATTCAGGGCCGGGTCGCAATGGCAGCAGGCGCTCCTGGGGTATCCAGGGGTGTTTCCAGAACAGGTAAGACATATATGATGTGTCCAGTGTGCTCTATCCTGGAGCTTTCTGCCAGTGGGTCATGCCTAGACGACTGCAAATGGAGGCATCCCAATCAAATGCTTGGACCACCTCATCTGACTCCCTTTGATTCAGAGGAGCAGTGGTTCTACTCGGAGCACCCCCTGGATATCAGAGGTTATGCTACCTCTAAGGCTGAACCCTGCCACCTAACTGTTTGTACCAATCTCATTCTTTCACCCACTCATCCCTAAGAGGGTCTGGTCAATCACCTGCTTTTCTAGTGATGCCATAAACAAGACTCTGAGATACTTAAACTCCTTCACTTAGGACAGAATCCTGGAGGAAACAGACTTTGAGGAGCTGACCCTCACCCCAGCCACTTCACAATTGACTCCAAAATGCCCTGTGCATATTTAGCCACATTCCTCCCCCAGCTGTGGCTTCAAATCCTGCCCAGGAAAATCACAAACAGTAAAGTAATCTCCACAAGTCCACAAACCACAATAAAACAAGGCACATTTCAAATAGCCCAGCAAGCACAGCAATTAATCTCAGCACCAGTTTACCTCTAAGGAGCTTTTTACCTCCTCCAGTGACCTCTGTCATGGATATGGATGAAGCTTCCCCGGATTGTTCTGACTCTGACTCTGCCTTAGAGGTCAAGAGCTCATGCCCATTTGTTGCTTCAGGAAAAGTCTGAGACAACCAAGCCAAGACAGTTCTCCTTCTTCAGCTTGATGGCTTCCTTCACCACTGTTGACCACCAGCAGGATCTCAAGTTACCATAATGACAGGTACCAACCACATTCACAATGGAGGCTTTGCACATGGCCCACTCTGATTGCACAACCCTACCTCCCCCAGGAAGCATGCAAAGTCCTTCAGGGGTGGGATTTAAAGAACTCATGAAAGGGGCCTCAAAGCAACTAGATGAAAAAGCTATGTTTAAAACTACATCACCTTGCCCGGATTAGGGAAACTGGGGCAACCTCCTGGAGCCGGAGCTAGGGACAAGCATCTATTGAGTGGGTGAATGGCAACAAAAGGAATCTCATCTTATATAAAACACTGTACAAAGATCTCCAATTTGGCAACTGAAAATATATTTATATCACTGAATGATATGAATAGCTGTAATTTTAAATTGCTGCTCCAGTAGCACTTATATCCCTGAGAATCAACAGTCCAACAGTGTTAACCCCTGGGCAGCTTTCAGCTGATTGATTTGATCACTAAACCTGAGGGTTAAGTCCCTGCAGCTCTAATTAAGCCCTGATATAAATCTGTTAGTTCCAGAACACACGCTAAAACACATAGATGCATAATGATCTGAACAATCATTTCATTTTCTACACAGTTTTAGAAAAAGATGATTGGTGCTAAACGATGTTTGCCCTCATACACCAATATATCTAATCTGGATTTCCACCATCACCTGGAGTCCTTGAGACAATCCTCTTTAGCACGATGGACAGCAACTTTGAAAAGCTCTGAGCAGTTATGGGCCTGAACCGACATTTCAATCATCCTGCCTCTTACAATAATAGGTCATCAAAGGCCATTGTGTAGTAAATGATAGCGTGTGATTTTGTAATGTGCGTGCACCAAAACTAAAACCATGATGTACAGTCTGTACACATGCACCTAGTCCTTGGATATGGTTGTTTCAGTTAAAATGTGTGTGTGTGTGCTATTTGAAAACACCCTCATCTCACTAGATCAGATAGTACTGTTGAATTTTGTTTTATACAGCTGAGATTAGTAGCTGCAAAACATCCAAACCGGCTCTATCTATTTTTAATATCTACATGAACAGATGATGTAGAATGCACTCGTTAAAACTTGAGGAACGCCATGTTAAACACAGATGACTCATTCATAATTTGCACAGATGATGTTTAATCATCTGAGCTGATCCAACCTTGCATTCAAGATAAAATACAATATTGCTTAAATGTATTATGCCAATCTATCTAATGGATCTTTAATTAAAATGAAACTGAAATATATTTTTTGCTATCTTGTCTTAAATTTCATGACAAGGTCAATCCATCATATTTTATCTTAGCACGAAGCAGAAACTGGGAAAAATTTACTTAATACCTATACCTGAGATCACAAAATTCACCTACCACCTCAAACTCCCATGCAGTGACCAAAATACTGTGATGCCCTCAGGCATAAAGTGAGTTTGAAATCAGATTTTTTTTTTTCAGTGCACACACTTTGGGGAGATTAGGGGATTCCCCTTTCTTTAACAGCTATGATTGTTAATCATATATGTTAATTCATAGGCTATTCATTGTTTAAGAAGATTTTACCGGTCTACCTTTACATCCTTAAATCAGTGACTAATTAGAGCTTAAATACAAGTTACAGTCAAGTTATGTGTTAATAATGAGTTTAGTGACATATAATGTTTAAGAAGTGCTTAATCTTTGCTTGAAACCCTTATTTGCTTTATTACACCCAATTATATTTTTGACACATTTAAATGCATATATATGTCCAATATTCATTATATCAAACATTCAAAGCATTTTGTTATGAATGCACTGATGGAAAACAACACTGGAACAAGGCTTTCCTTTTATGAGACTAATGTATAGGCTATTCTATGTGTAGGCTATAATTTCACTCTCCACTGAAAGAGCTCTCTCATTGTGGTGGAAAAATAGCCTGTGTTTTGTTCACAGCTTGTTGTGAAATATAAAATTCCAGATGAGCGCATATTCCGACAACAGTCTCGGTGCACAAAGGCTGCATGGGACTTATCTTTGTACCCGGGGTGGAGGGAACTAAGCCCCTTGGGAGCGACGTCCCTCCCCTTGGCATTTCACCCAGTAGCCGCTGTGCGCGCCCGGCACAGCAGCACCACAGCAGAGGACGTCAGGATCGCATCCATCCCCAACTCAACGGAACGCGCAATGCTCTGCGAACTGAATGTGAGCCGAGCGGTCCTCTCCGATTCCGTGAGTCTCGGCGAGGAGGCATCCACACGCTCAGGCACACAAGGAAACTACTCGGTGAAGTAAGAAGGTCATTTAAAGTGGAGAGACGGGCGCTCGCGTCGAGCTCAAGCATGGTCCGTAGGGAAGGAAACATCAGCCAGAGCCCACTGTATCTGTAACTTGGAGGTTTTACTCGTAAAGGCGCTTTCATTTGGAGATCGTGGGATTTTCTCTGCGTAAACATGCCTGTCAGAAGAGGTCACGTTGCGCCACAAAACACATTCCTTGGATTAATCATTCGGAAATTCGAGGGTCAGAGTAAGTATGTTGTTTGTGTACAATTTCTGTTGCCAGATAAGAGAATACTACAAAGTAATTGTTTTATCAGTGAGCCAGAAAATAGTGAATGAATTAAAGTGCATGCTGAAATGAAATAGTTCCTGTAATGAGTTTCTTTCACAAGAATTCAAACAAAAGACAAGCTCAGTTGAGGTTTTTATATGTGGTTTGGTGAATTGGCCGATTATTTTTAAATACCATAGATGAAAATGTTTGACAATGAACTCATTCATCTTCTTGAACTGATTTGACTTATTAAGGTCAGATAGGTCAGATGGCTGAACACACACTGCATATACTGTCTTCTTTTACATGCAGATCGGAAATTTGTGATAGCCAATGCCAGGGTGGAGAACTGTGCAATCATATACTGCAACGACGGCTTCTGCGAGATGACAGGCTTCTCCAGACCGGACATCATGCAGAAGCCGTGCACCTGTGACTTCCTGCACGGTGACCTGACCGACAAAGAGGCCATCAGCCTGGTGTCCCAGGCTGTGCTGGGGTCCGAGGAGCGCAAGGTGGAGATCACCTACTACCGCAAAGATGGTAAGTCAGCAGACCTGGCTCAACACTGTGGCTGTCACAGCGTGCACCACAAGCCAAGAAGGGTCTTTTGTTACATGTTGAGTCCAAAGAGAGCACACACTGCTGTCCTCACTGTGTCCAGCTCACAATGTGGTCTGTCAGTCTGATACTAACCAGCCAGAGTCAATTACTGTACAAGATGCACAGCACACATTACCCCTGATAGAGAAAACCAGTCAGGGGCGCCAGCTCCAAACTAACTTCTTTTCCGTGCGTTTATAGCAGATCTCCACATTCAAACAATAATACATTACAAACTGTGAAGGCCATAAAGGGGCAATTTACACAGAGGCCGATTACATGTCATATATATATATAGCTCTATAGTATTCCATCATTAAATATATCGTGTAGGTCAAAAAAGCTTAGAAAATAATAATTCTTAACAATGTGTTGTATTCATTGTTAGACTTTTTTAAGGCTACTGACAGAACAGGGGCCAATCAGATTTCAGCCAGGGCCAGTGCGCCCCCCCCCCCCTTGCCCTGCCTTTGGATCCGCCCCTGATTACAAACGTTGTTTTTCTTGATCTGTTTCTTATTCCTGCTTCATATTCAGTGGTGGGAAATTTTGTGAAAATGGTAATATGTGCAGTACAGATGAGATTTCACTGTGTGTCAAATACAAGAATAAATTGCTCCGTCAGAGAACACTGTGAGACACTGAGGTAGACGTGAAGGACACATCTTTTTGGCGCCTGCCTTAATCGCAGCATCGTGTGCCTGGATGACATTAGGAAAAAAAATTCAGGCAGCCAAAAATGATGGTGTGCAGTTTTTCTTAGGTTTGGATTCAACAGAGAGCTGTAAACAGAAATAGAACGAAGAAGAAGTTGCAAGGTCAGGCAATAACAGGATGATGGACAGCGTGAGAGACAGTGGGTGTGACAGAGCTCACCTGCTGCCTTCGTAGAGTTGCTTCCTGACTTTACCGTAAATATATCTGCATCACATCTTCCAGAGGAAACATTGCATTTGAAGATCCATGCATTTAGCCATGTGGGAAAGGTGTCCAGAAGCTTTAGAGAGGCAGTGGATCAATGTACTAATCTGTAAAATTGCAGTTCATGTGATAGGGTCCGGCTTTGCCAGCATTGCATAAAAAACGCTCACCCTTTTAATGCTAGACTGGTGTTTGTCATGCATTTTTTGGCCAATGTTCGTCCTGGTATGAATGGTGTTCTGCACAGGCAGCAATCCTGAGTCAGAGAGAATTAATACGATGTTACCGCTCAGTGGCATAAATCCCCGGATTGACTACCTCCTGCCATGCTCTCACATGAGCTTTTTATGGTCAGCATGACATAGCTGTGCAGAGTCCATCCAAAGGCTGGACAGCAGGAACATGCTTTCCCCCTTTTAGTTTGCACAAAGTGAAGCCAACATATAGTTTGTGTGCATTGTTGCTTTAAACTCATATTCTAATGACTACTGAGGCCTGTGCAAACAGCAGTACTGTATGTAAAGAGTCTAAGCCTGTAAAAAAGAGACATAATATTTTATTTAATCATAAGGAGCCAGGGTTTTAATTTTTAATTGTGAGTTTGATTAGTTTCTAGGCCATGGATACATGTTTAATCTACTATCAGCAGCCATCAGCTTAGCCTTTTTTTTTCTTTTTTTCATTTTTGCAAGTCATGAAGAAACCGAGAGCCAGCTGCTACACTGCTAAAATAGATTTTGTCAGAAACTTGCGAGACAATTACAGAAAACACTCTAGAGAGCACGAAAAGCTTAGTTTTTTAAAGCAACTTAATTTAGTTCCCATCCTCCTCTCTTCTTGCACGCATCTGCCATCTCCCTCTAAACGTCATGTGCCTGTAATGTTTAAAAGCGCGTCGGATGAAAAGCACAGAAACCTTCCAACATAATCGTTGCTCCCTGTCTCTTTCACAATCCTCCCTGGTCTGCATCATGGCTTCAAGACAACTCTTAATACTCCTCAGAGGAATTTATAGTGAGCGTGTGTGCTCATGAATAAAGATGTCAGCGTTGACAGTGCAGTGACTGGGAATGAGCGGCTTACAGGGTAAATGCATTAAACTGGTATGGAGGACACAATCCACACGCTCCCACTGCTATAGAGGAATGAAAGATTCATAGCATCCTTGAGAGCGATGGCCCTATCGATTCAAGTCACTCGACAAATTGAAGCTGATGGGCGGAAAGTGGATGTATTCCATGTCTTCCTCTCCTAACTGTATTTCAAGTTTTCCATCCTCATGTAAATCGCTTAATCCTTTGTATCAAAGCCTTCCATTTAAAATGCACCTACTGTATTTCAGAAACCACACAGGCATGTTGGAGAAAAACACAAACTAAACCAGCCGCAGCTTCTCAGATGCAGCCAATCGATGTATTTGTCAATTTATATGCATATTGTGTATAGGAATGACATTGTGTCATTTTCTTTATCCCGTCCCATCAATAACGACAGTGGGAAATCCTAAAAAGTAAGGTTAGGGCTTGAGGAGGCTGTCTGACATCAGGAGAAACAAAGCTTTTACTCTTTTCACTGAAAAGGCAAAAAGTTAAGCTGCTTATGCGTATGCTTGGATATTAAAAGGAGTGGAACAATGGGGACTGCGAGAGCGCGGCTGCGGCTCAAGGGCATGTTCTTTTAATTTTTGTGCTTCCCTCGTATGTGATCGACGGGGATGGGTTTTCAAGTGTGCATTCTCCGACGATGATACATAATCAATGAGATAAATGCTTTCCCTTGATGGCTTTGTAAAGCTATCCTATTCCACGGGGTGTAATAATACTTTGTACCTGAATGAGTCTTAACAAAGGGAAGCTGACACCGTGCAGCGGGGAGAAGTTAAATGGATAATGGCTACATAACAGCGGCAGCTTAGCTAACCGTGCTGAATGATCTGGGCCATGTGGTATGCGTGGGTGCAGGGTTTCATAGGTGACTCCCCACTGAGGGGACTGAAGGGGCGCGTACCCCTGAGGGTTTGTTGGCAGGGGGGCGAGGGAGCAGGGGACACAGAGTACCTTAAGTGCACATGGTGTGCTGCAGGACGTTTGGATGACTTGCATCCAAGAGCCCATCCATTTTTCATCACAGTCAGACCCCTTTGGTGTCTCGCTGTATGAGGTGAAGCACATAGAGAGCTTTGCTGATCAGGTTTCATGGAGAGCACTATGGAAAGCCTGGTTACTTTACCTTCAGCTCATTCCAAGGAGAAATAATTAATATTTTACTCTTTATTATTGCAAAATGTTCATATTTATTTATATATATGGATAATTTGCCACCATAGCTGCCCACAAATAGAATATGGAACTATTGTACTGATACTGTTCAGGAGCAGATGGAGCTTCAAACACAGGAAACAATAAAGGTCTCACTTTGCATTGGATAGTAATGTTTTTCCATGGGCTATTTTCATCTGATGGGATGCTTTTACCGGAGGTGTTGATCTAATATTCCTCCCCATACCATCTGTGTTTTTCTCCCTTAAACTATAACTCTATGCAATCCTAAACTTTTATCAACCATTGCGTCTCATTTGCCAACATTTCTGCTAAATGAAATGGAATAACACCCAGCAAAATATGATGAACATTATTAATTGATAAATGTAAACATGAAACGAAATGTAGTTTGAGCCAGAGCTGCTAGCTATTCCTGATGGCTCCGGAGACACTGATTGAAGATGAAATTAGGCCAGGCTGTGTAGCTCAGAGCCGTCTTTACTGAGGCGAGATACCGCCACAAGGCCCAAGGACTCTAAACAAAGGGCTAGCTTGCATGGCCTCTTCCTACATGCCCCAGTCCTGATTGGCTATGCCCCAGTAACGTTGTGTATTGGCTTAAGCAGAATAGCCTTAAACGAGTAACATGTCAGATTTCATTATACAAGACCTACTACCAGGCAGTGGTCTGCGGATGTGCTGTTTAAAAGCTGCGGTTGTGGATAGTACATTTGTTGGAAAATAAAAAAACAAAAATCAGCGCTTAAAAATAATTCTCATGTTTCCCCCTGAAGCAGATCAGCTTATGCAGATTAATAAGAAGCCTCAATACATCCAAATCAAACAGTGAGGTTCAAGTAAGAAAAAGCTTCTCTCTTTGAAATGAGATTAATAGATGTATAGTGGTGTTCACTCTAATTTAAAAAAATAAATCTGAACACAACTATGCATTTATGTATCTTTAAGAAGTCTCACGTTTCACCACAACTCTGCTCGGCTCGCGGGCCTTCATTGTAATGGGGTCCAAAGGATCACTTGATTAAGCAGAAATCTTTTAATAATTGATGATCGAAATGGAATCTACAGTAATGAAATTTCCAACATGAAAAGGGAGCTAGTCTTAATACACCATCCATTCATTCAAGCAGGTGTAAATAACATTTCTTGGCTCACAGGGAAACACTCTGTGTAAAGGTCAGGGAGTGAACGAACAGCCGCTCTTTCAACAAACCGCTTTACTGTCAATGATGTTAACTGTGTCCGGCAGCTACGGACGCTATTATGTTGTGCAGAGTTGAGTGTTGGAGGAGAATAGGAAGGCTGCGGGCTTGGTATGTGCTTCAATGGTGAAGAGAGGGTTAAAAGAGCTGCAGATAGAAAATGAAGGTAAATAGACACAAGAGAATGATGCAAACTGTCTCACTATTTTGACAATATACTTGTCACATTAAAGACAATGATCCGGAGCAAAAAATACACATTCACCCATTAGAAAATACATAATGCTACATAAACAAAGCACATCTGGACGTGTTATTAGGTGTTGGATATTTACATTGTGATTGCTGGCATTTGTTATTGGCTTCACCTGAATAGCATTTGCCATGTTCATTTGTTGCCTGTCAGAAGATATATTGTCCCAGAAAATGATGGCGATAAATGATAATATTGTCATTTTAAGATCCTTTTTGTGCCCCACAGTCTTTGCATCCAGAGTTCACTCCGTGTCCGTTTCAGTCTCCCCCACAGGTAAAACACAATTTAGTTCAATCCAGTTAAATCAAGGCTAAAACTGCTGCTCACTTGTCACTTCCATATGGTGGTTCAGAATACGCAGGGCTGTGGTCTGGGGTTGTCATTACATTATTGATTGATTGTGGGTGTGGCTGTGGAAAACATGAACAAATGAAGTCTATGATAGATGATGTAATCCAAAACTGGTCGCTACAGTAAACAAAAGGGCAATATCCAGGTCACCATCATGATCTCGTCCATATATTATATACATATATAACGTAATTATCATTATTCTGTACTGCCCAATATTAGTTACTGCATTTTTGTGACTTCTTTGCTTGTGTTTTTTTATGCTGCATATGTTTTACCTGCAAGACTCAATGAATCATGCATAATAGCTGAAGTATTTAATTAAGGTGCAGAGCAAGTTCACAATAACTTCCAAAAAGGCAGAAATTAAAGGTCAGTCACAGATAATCTCAACATCCTCCTGTCAGTCTTCAGGACACGAACAGAGTAAGGAAGTGAAGATAGAAAAACAAATGAAAACAGTAGCAGGAATTCAAACTGATTCTGTATGAACTATGGACAATCACAAAGTAAACATTTGCTTGAAATACACTGGCAGAGAAAACAGAATGAAACTGAAAATGAAACAGGCAGTGTTGATAAAGGTGTCAGTGTGTTCCCTGTTGAGGTTTTAGATCACAACTATTACACTTTAGTATAAAACTTCTACAACTGAAATATCAGAATGTATTGTTGATTAGATTGTTTTTATATATTTCTGTGCACTAAATCTTACACATAGTATCACAACTGCTTGTAAATAGATCAAATTCCAAGATTATTCCTCGGTTAATATGAAACAGACCATAGCTTCTTATAAAAGTGTCTGACAATGTTGTTCATTGAGACACTTAAGCTGAGAAGTCATCCAAGCATCACATATTTAGAAAATGGGATGTTTCCGTGAGTGTAGTTTTTAGTCACATTTTCCTTTGGTTTGACAACAGAGTTATTTTTTTCTTTTTGTAGTAGCTCTGTTAGATAATGGTATTTGAGTTCACATAATTTGCCCCACCGAAATGTCGTCAGCAAACTATTTGGACAGAAAAGGAGAAGAATAACACAGTTGTTCCAAATCAATAGCCAGTTCTTCTCCAGGTCATGAGTAGCTCTGCTGATCACATGGTTCACTGCCACTGCCTTTAGGTAGAGAAAAAAAAAGTGCTCACTGGTTTATTCATAAAACGTTCCCCTTGTTTTGCAGGGTAAGAGCACCATGGGCAAGGACGTAAGATTATGAAATCATAACGTATATCGTGATTAGAGCGGCGTCAAGTTTAAAATGGAACTGTCTCTGCTGATTTGTAGTATTTTTTCCAAGCAGCGTTTCTTTCATCCATGTTGGTAGAGGTGACTTTCACCAGCAGACCAGCTGAGAAGGGACCTCCATGACTTAGCCTTTGAGCATGGCCATTGTCTCCCCATCTGGTAAGGTAACTCCAGCCCAGAAATATTTCTGCTGAATTTACCTTCTTGGCTGCACACAGAGCACGGTTCTGTGCACTCCACGTCTGTTTCAATTAACAAATACAATATTCACCATGTCGCTCCTGTTTCAGATATTTCAACTTGAGCATTATTACAGCGTTTTGCATACTCTTTGTAAATTCACATACAGACGTGTCAGCTGCCAAGTTACATCACATTTGTGTTTGGTGGCTGTAAAACACAGGATGTATTCTGTAAAGAACAATTTACTGTACATGAAAGACTAAACTAAAGTAAGGAAACCCTCTTGACTAATTTTAATCATGTGCTCATTGCTGTGTTCAGTCACCGAGAGCACTTAATATTTAATGCATGGATTATTGCTTCCCTCCTAAAACCTTAGAAAACTCCTGTCATGGTTGAGTAATGGAGCAAAGAGGACGTCTGCAGCCATTGTGCACATAAGGAAGGAGCATATTTCAACACAAATAAATATATATAACTAACACTTCCTGCCTCTCCATGTTAGAGCTAAAACTATGATTGCAAAGTGTCATGTTTTGTTGCTTGTAAGTTTCCATTACACTCACTTGAGGGACCTGGGGTTTTGGGTTATACTGACCAACGTTGCAGCTTCAACTCTGACCGGGAATCTTTGTCACTGCTTTGGTTCTTATCATCCATTGTATGTATTAATAAGTACATAACCACCATCAATACATTTATATAGTATATATCAGACAACTAAAAGTTGACACTAAATATCTCACTCAGTAAATGAGTTTTCCCTTCACTCTAAAAAATGAGCGAACTGTAAAATAAAACACATCCAAGTTAAAACTAACTGTTCCCTTTCATAGGAGGGACAATGTAGATTTAGGTGAAGGATTTCTCGGAATTGCGGGAGAGTGCTTTTTATAAAAAAGGGGATTTTCTGGGCAAGAACTCACAGTTCCCCTGCTCTCTAAGCACCAATCTCCTGCTTTACAACATAACACAACCAGGCTCCCATGACACCAGGAAAGATGAGTGTGTGGTCCTATCATCCACATACAGCACATCATGTGTCCAGTATTTTACTTCCATCACATCACATGATGCTGTTAAATTACTGATTTATTTTCCGATATTCTCAAATAGCGACTTTTTCTCATGTTTTCCATTGTATAAACACAACATTATGATATTGTCAGTGGTGACAATGCAGCATCACTTCTGGGAGTTTTGATGCCGAAATCCTTCCAACAGAACTCTGGCATGTTGAGGCAGGGCAAGCTTGTTATATTTAGTCAGACAGCAAGTCTACTGCTAATGAATGCTGCTGGCAGGGTGTCTGTGAGCCCTGAGGAGATTACAGTGAACACTAGTAGTATGTGTCCTCTGTGAGTAGGAGCAACACAACAAATCAGACAGTGAGACGGGCGGACCTACACAGAGTGATGGAGACACCGTTTTTGTGTTAGACACTGATTGTAAAGGCCGGTGCCAAATGACAAATACCATCAGCTTTATCATCCTCTCTGGAATCATTTATACTTCTAAATACACATACAGTGATGTAGTTTTTTGATTATGTACTGAAAACCGTCAGTCAGCTGTACAGTATTGAGTCCAGTGAGACAAGATTTATTTTTATTAGTATTATTTGGCAGTTTTGCCCGCAGGCATCAAGGTCTTTTGCTGTAGCTATTACCAGCACAGCCGGTGAGATCCGGGGCTCGAGAGTGACTGTAGCTTATGTGTTTGTTTTTGCTCGGCAGCCTCATACGACGATCAGGTGATTATTCGTGCAAGCACATCACAGTCCGCTAAATTGGTTGTATTTTGTCCCGTGCTCTTTGATCTATTATACTAAACCTTGCCACCCGCACTACCCACTGTGGCCCTTGCGTCCTATTTATCCGACTTGAGGAAGCTTAGTCCTTTTCATGCCAAGCACTGCGCATTAAAATACACATGGACACATGGTGCTTGCGTATGCATACAAATAGGCATGCAACACACATGAGCACATAAGCACATGCATAAACTTTATTTAACCCCAGGGCTTACTTATTTTATCTCAACTATTTCATCTGTTCTGACACGCAGGCATTGACCTTTAAATCAGATCAACTTCTCGTCCATTTTCCCCAACGTTAAACGACAATTATGATTATGATAATACTTCTTGATACATTTCCATAATGTTTCTTCTTTAATTCCATTTTGAACACACACTTTGTTTCTGTTTCAGGAACTGACTTTCAGTGTAACACTCATATAATCCCAGTGAAGAACGAGGACGGTGTGGTGATGATGTTCATCTTAAATTTTGACTACGTTCTGGATGAAGGAAGTGACAGCTCCACGGAGAAGATAAGCCCCGCCTCCCCAACAAAGTCAGACCAAAGTGAGTGTTCGATGAACCATCGTCTCTATAGCAGAATGTAAAAAGCATTGATATGCAGCATCAAACTGAATTTAGTTTTGTCTGTGGTAAAAGTGCCAAATATTACACCCGACATCATATCTGTGGTGTATTTTCCTGGTCTTTTTTTGTGTATGTTTTGTGAGATGTCACCTCTCCTAAAACAACTCACTCTGTTAAAGGGCAGTTATGTAAACGGATGACTGTAACTGAGATAATTCATTAAAATAGCCCTCTACATCTGTTAAACACTAATTAAGCAGTAGAGCGTTTGATTCGGTTCCCTGTCATGCTCAGTGCAACTTCCTAACAAGTTGCCCGTTTTCATTATTCTCAAAATCAGAGCATTATTTTTTCAGCAGTACAATAGAGTTTTACATGTACAGCAGTGGAATAGTTGGGTGCCTGCAGGGATAACTTACATAACCGTATCTTGCTGAAATTGTAGAATTCCTTATCTGTTTTATGTCTTTTTGTAGAGCAGCATATACTGCGCTCCTCATTGTTATTTGGATGTGTGTCAGGAGGTGTAAATGTCAGCGAGACTTTCCTGCTCCTCCCTGATTGGAGGCACTCAGCATCTCGTCTCTGACTGGGGCTCAGCTATCCACTTCACTCAGCATGAATTCCTCTGAGGCACTGACATTCGGCTTGTGCTGTACTGTGTGTATTTAAGCGTGTGCATGCATATGCATAGACGTATGTGTGTGTGAGTATGTGTGTATCAGAGTGCCTGTGTCTGTTGCTAACATTGCTAATCAGAGTTGATTGCTTGTGACCAGGCTTCAGCAAGGGGACTTGTGGATAGATGGGTAGATAAACATATGATGTGACTTCAGATTAGAGAATGTCTTGACTACATGCACACATCACACTTTAAGCATGACCTTACCGTTGTCTTTGTCTTTGAGCAGCCCTTAGATAACAGCAGGGCAGGACTTCCATGCTGTTCTTGGTTTGACTTGGAATCAAAGATGGATGCTTATCTTACATTAAAGCTGCATGCTATTAAAGTGCAGTATTCATAGATATTGTCTTTCATATTGGCCATTTTCACTGCCATATATTCAAGTTAACATTAGGTGTGTATGAACAACAGATTAACAGCATTTAAACCATAATGAGATTCTAATTTTTGGCACTAGCACCGAATGCAATCCTTTCCAGGTTATCACGCTGTAAAAAATAGAAAGACAGAACCATACCATTAGCACAGGAACAACTTTGATTCTTAGTATGTCACCTCGAATGACGAGGGAGCCCATTTCCACATTGTCTGGTCTAATATTTTACCGTAGCAGCGTCTGACAAGTGATTTTTGGACCTTTGGGAGGGAGGGTAATTATGATCCGGTGTTGACAGCAGGCTACAAGCCGGAAGGCATTAACCAGCACGACACTGAACCTGCAAAAGAGTAATCCCACTTTCCCCAAGCTGCCGTCAAAAACAGCACACTCAAATATTCTTTTTAGTCAGTGACAAATCCTTAGAGGGTGAATGGTACATTCACCTATAGCAAGAAGGCTATATTCCTATTTATATGCTGCAGAGTAAAAAAAGAAATCTGACACTGATCAATGGTTTATTACAACTCATTTCTCAATATTCAAGCTCCTCACCTTTTGTCTACTTTACTTGTTAATAGACACAACATCACTGTGTTCCAAACCCAGCATCCATACACCCTAAAGAGCATAGACCTAAACACAGGCACAACAAATATGAGCGGTAACTTTAACTCTTAGCTATAAACAGCCATGAGGACAGAAAAGATAGATCAACAATATGTCAAATTCAAGGTAGGCAACATCACCACATTGCAACAACTCAGTGGCAACTCTGATGAACACGGTTGCGATTCTTCCATCCAGCACCCACATTATTTAAATGAGAATTTAAATAACAGGCTTATGTATTGTTGACACATTCTGTCTTGACACAGTGGAAGAGCGATTGCACATTTGACCCACAAAAATCTGGTTTGAAGCCACTGGTATTTGATGGGAACATTATCCAGATAATAATGTACATAAACACTTTAGGCAGAAGGACAATATCTGTTCAATCTGTGGTTAGAGACAGTTTCCACTTTCTATTTGCAAGGGCAATTCACTTTAAACGGTAATGGGAGACGGCACTCTGATTGATTTATTGAATGTTATGCCCAGAATACACCCATAATTTATTAAGAGACTAAGTACAACCCTTCTGAACCATGTGCCTGACGTCTCAACTTTGACAGTGCCCTTAAACTAGCAAAAAGGGATTTGGACATGCTCTAAATGCACTTGAGCTTCAGACGATGTGTGTAGATTGTTGAAACAGAGTTCCAAGATTTAAAAAGTTCTTGATGTCTTAACTTAAATGCCAACAAAGCACCATATCCATCCCTAGATTTGTGGCACATATATGGCTAAATATAAATGTTTCTTATGATTGTCCTTATCGTGATAAACATTTAAAAAATTGTGATCCATTTAAAAGGAAATTGTCAAATCAAAATGTGGATTTTGTAAGTTTGTATAGTAAAATGTAAAATGTACTGTTATGGTATCATAGCATAAGTTGTATATATGTATATTTATTATCATTATATAAGGGCTCAGGTATAAACTTTTTTCTTTAAGCTACTCCGAGACAAACTGCATCTTATTAAGTTTACATGAGCTCGACTTTTTTTTTTCCGAGAGCATTCTCAGTGCAGAAGACACATGGTCTACCTGCAGAGAAGAGACGGGAAGGTTGTCCATATCTCCTGCCAGCGCAGGATGTCATTAGGGTTCCTCTCCAGGAAACTCGTTGAGTGTCACGGCTCTCATTGTGAGCCGCTATAGTTGTAACATCAGTACATTTGGCCAGGGAATGGAAACAGATGGCAGTGACGTTATGTAAGGAGGGTGCTGAGCGATGGGTGCCACACGAGTGAGGCCAGGTTCACTTTTCACTCTCTTTCTATTGTTAATGAGCCAAAACTTTTTGCTCTGTCCCTTGAGGTCTGTAACATTTGCTGGTGTGTCCATTCTGAGGATGCGGCTGTGCACAATGAAATCGGGCTCCTGTCTCAAATCAATGAGGCAGAGAAAAGCCAACTGCACAATCTGCTCCTCCTCAACCTCATAGCCACTGTAGGGGTGTACATGCTAAATCAATAGTTTTTCACTTTGTCTGCATTTTAAAGTTCAGAGTAAGATTCAAGACATTTTGTAAACAAGAGAACACAGTATACGCTGCTGTCAACTACTATTTTATTAAAATATGGGAAGCAGCACTTACAGAAAGTCTTGAATGAACAGACTTTTATGATTTCAGATTAATTTGGAGAAAGTACTCGGAGGCCCAGATGCTTGAGACACGAGAGACTCATTTTTATTATTTAAGAGCAGACATGTTTTGGCACCTGCTGTTCACAGGACCTCTGTGTATGTTTATCATATCATATGTGAGTAAGGTAAAGCACAAGTTATAAATTGTCTGTCTAATAACAGATCAGGTCTATTTTATCGCTTATTGTTTTTAGCTGAAAGTATCTTGTCAATCCATCAGTAATTACAGACTTTTTGGATGCCTCCAATTTTCAGTGCCGTTCAAGCAAAAACTCAACAACATAATTTCTTCTCAACTTTTAGGGGGGAGCAGATTCTTCCGTTTCCGCCAGGCTGCTTTGAGCCTAATGAACACTAACAAGCAGTCTCTTCCGCAAGAGGACCCAGATGCGGTGATGGTGGACTCACCCAAAGACAACGAGGATTCGGTGGCCCTGCAGAACTTCCCCTCACCCACCAAGAGCATTTGCAGTCCCATCGAGGCGAACGACACGCACGCCCTCATAAGCTCGAGCCGCCATTCTTCCCAGGCGAGCGTCGGTCCTGAGCCACTTGACCATTCATCCCCTAAACTCCCCTGGGAGAAGCTGTACCAGCCGGAGGCGCACCAGTCCTCCACCTCCCTGTCGAACACCTTCCCCAGAGGCAGCATCAGCAGCATGAGGCGAGCCTCGTCTGTCCATGAAATTGAGGGCTATAGCTCCAATTCCAAAAGCATTTTCAGGGATCGACATATGAATGAAGGTATTTAAAAAAAAAAAAATGTTCACAATCTGTGGTTATTGGACCAACACATCACATTAAATCCAAGTTTCCAATAGAATGCTAATCATTGTTATCACAACCATGAAATGAAATAGAATTTTTTTCTATATGTGGCTTATTAAAATGTTCATCCTTTACTGTCTCTGTCCTCACAGACAATGTGTGAGGAAACCATGCATTTCCACCCATGATTTAATTGCTCTCTGTTGTTTTGGACCGTGACATTCAAACACAAACGCCAACAATCAGCACAAATGCTCCTCATAGATTCCACTCCTGTTTCTGACATTTTGAATGGGCTCATCACACTTAACTATGTAAAATGATTATATTCTCAGACCATTGGAGTGTTTTTGTCACATCATCAGCAGACAGTGAAACCACACAGGGAAGCTTCACATCTGAATAGCATTCAACTAAGCCTGCATGGACACATGCCTTTATTATGTGATATCATAGCTCGAAGCTTCACTAAGCTTCAATAAAAGGAAATTGTGAATTTTACTGAATGAATCACCAGTTCTTTTAAAGATTCAGATTATTTATTTGTCCCTTCCATATTATGTGTTCCAGCATATATGTGAGTAAAAAATCATAGTCCAGGTCAGGGTGCAGGTCTCATTTAAGAACATAGGACACATTTAGAGGGAGAAAGGGAGCAATCTTAAAACGTACCCTTACCTCATTTTTAACATGATCCAGCTGAGCTGTAGTTCATTTAATTTCAGAAATCTGTTTAAGATGAACATCTATTACACTTTTGTCACCTCAATGAAAACATAAAGATAATGTTTTAAAATGTGTTTATTCAATATTTGTTTATGTCTATAACTGCTGAATGAGCTCATGTTTAATATTTTTTTTAATTATACATTTTTATTATGAAATAATTTCATTTTTAGAGCCACCATTTTCAAAATGTCAGTTTTACTGTATAATTCACAGTGTATCAATGGATAGATTTATAGCCAATCTGACTGCATGTAGTTAAACACACCAAGATATTATCACTGTATTGGTACTAATGTGACTGCTCTCTGTTTTGGAACCACCAGGCCCTTTTAATCACGTGAAGTCCAGCCTGCTTGGCTCTACTTCTGATTCAAACATCAACAAGTACAGCACCATCAACAAGATCCCACTGATTGCACTCAACTTCTCTGAGGGGGCTGACAAAAAGACTCACTCTCCGCCAACATCCGAGAACACCATCATAGCACCAAAGGTCAAAGACAGAACCCACAACGTCACAGAAAAAGTCACACAGGTGAGTCAGGAAGTTTTACACTATTTGAAATTCGAACAGGTTGCACAGAGGCTAATTTCTCAGCTCCCATTACGACAAACTGGGCTTCTATTTTCCACTGGTTGTGTATTGCACATAGCATCATTTGCAGTGTTTGTGGGTAAGCTGGCAAAAAGGACAATGTCCTCATGAGTGCGCTAATGTCTGCTTATGTTGTCACTGGCTGCGGTGCCTCAAAGGAAGAGCGTGACACTCATTCACAGCACACATGTGCCAGTGAAATGTCTTGCTGGCTGTCTGCGTCCTGCCCTCATCAGCAGTGGAGCGGTGACATTAAAAACAAGAGGGGAGGGTAATTGCAGATAAAGTGAGGATAATATCGAGAGAGGAAAAAAGGTCAAATTCTCACCCATCAACATCAGATATGGATAAAAGGAAAGAATGCTTGATAATGAAAGTGCGTGTTCATAACACCTCAGTAGACAGGACTCAGTTTTCTTGCTCAAGGACAGTTCAGCAGGCACAACACTTCGTATAATATGGCTGAAGGGTTATCTTGTAGCAGAATTCCCTGGTTGACTGGACGAGCATGGCAGCTGATGCCAACTTACCAAGGACAGGAAGGAGTGCAGCTACAGAATTCATCACTGTCTCAAATTTAAGCTGCAAAAATACCCACAATTCATCAAGTTAAATGAAATAGAAAGGGTAAATGCTTGTGTTTTGGACTTCATTTTTGTGAGTTCTGTAAACAGAATGTGCACAAATATGCCGTGTGTAGGTGAACACCATGACACAACAACAATACTGCTTATGAGCAGCCAAGCACAAGGGAGGCCCAGAAACCTTCTGTTCAAACTTTATTCAACACAGCTTTCTCATTCATAAATGAAGACGAACCATCATGGTGATTAAATACTCTTCTTCCCCGCTGACTCTGGTTTTGGAGTTTGGAGCCACCACTGAGATGTGAACACTGCATCCACTTCCTGACTGCTAGCATGGGGAAATCTATAATTCATGTGCTGAAGATAGGGGATGTGCAGAATAGAAAGACCCACCACCCTTATCCTCACTCCTGCACTGTTTTCTGCCATAAGAGAGCCTCTCTGCCTTTGTCTGCCACTGCTTGTTAAGCCCAAAACAGGGGACGGCTCGGCCTCCCCTGGCACACTGAATAATTTACCATTCCACCCAGGGTTCATGTGGTGAAATTAAAACAAATGTTGGCTCACTAAAATATATGAATAAGATATCCATCAGTGCACTTTTCTTCACTTCATGATCTGGATGTGAAAGAGTTTTTACAAAAGTGAAACTTTCTAGAAATGTAGAACAAGTACCAGTATTCAGTATCAGTACCATGATATTCATGGTGATGTGACATATCCATTTGTCATATACCTCGTTAACACCAAAAATAGTAGGTATACACGAATTTGTTTTGACTGTAGAGGAATTAGAGGAATTAGAGGAATTAGAGGAACTTTATGTCTTGTTTGTCCTGGTCACAGACGCACTGAAAACTGAGACACTCTCTCACCTTGCTGTCTGCCCACAGGTCAAATTTGCGCATTCCCCCAGGTGTCGCATTTCTTTCAGTGCCGTTCAGAGCCGATTAAATCTCATGTCTACAGAAGAGTAATTGGACCCAGAGTGAACGCAGATTGAATCTATTTCCATTGCAGACAAATGTCAAGAGTTAGCAGGTGTTAGTGGGGTTTTTTACCAGAGGAGAAAAAGCTATTGGCTGCTTAAGTGAGGGTGTCACAATTACTGTCAAATCAGTCCTTGAAGTCTATGAACTGAATTACCTGTTGTGCCCAACAAGTAATTACCATAAAATTCACTAACTGATTTATTTTTTGTTATTATCATGAAGAAAAAGGCAATCAGCACCAGTGAATATACACATCACAGAAAATAAAGCTTTTATATTGTCAGACTTTCCTGAGACATGACCAAAGTGTTTTCCTCTCTCCCACCTCTCCTACAGGTCCTGTCGCTCGGAGCCGATGTCCTGCCAGAGTACAAACTCCAGACAGCCCGCATTGACAAGTTCACCATTCTCCACTACAGCCCCTTCAAAGCCGTGTGGGACTGGCTTATCCTGCTGCTGGTCATTTACACAGCAATCCTCACCCCCTACTCTGCCGCTTTCCTTCTCAATGACCAGGAGGAGCAGAAGAGGCGTGAATGTGGTTACTCCTGCAGCCCCCTCAACGTGGTGGACTTAATGGTGGACATTATGTTCATCATTGACATCCTCATAAACTTCAGGACGACTTACGTAAACCTGAACGAGGAAGTGGTCAGCCATCCAGCTAAGATAGCGATCCATTACTTCAAAGGCTGGTTCCTTATAGACATGGTGGCTGCAATCCCCTTTGACCTCCTTATCTTTGGCTCAGGATCAGATGAGGTATGTTATCTCTAATGCATATATTTTTTTTTTCTCCCAGGGAGATTTACTGCACATTACCCGGCCATGCTTGCACTGTTATCCATTTACTAAGTCCAGACTTGTGCCCCTGGGCCACTACTTACAGCCTGAATCGTCCTGTCTCGGCTCTGAAAGGATTACTTTAAATTGCATGTTGTTGTTTTTTTCTTTTTTTTGTTGTTTTTCCTTTTTTTCCTTTTTTTTTTGAATGGCCCTCATTCTAGAATACATTTACACGGATTAATGGCTTACCAAATGGCAATCAATGATGCATTTATGTGAGGAGCGGGCCAACAGGGCTGTGTGCGCAGCTTACATGCAGATGTGAGATGGCCATTGGTAGGCCGGCTGCCAGGCGTCCTGGCTTGTTTGTTGGTAGGATATGTCCCCTCAGGATCTGGACCCACTTCAGTGCTTTATCGTGCTTTGTAGGCACTCCATTACACCAGAAAAGCTCCTGATTATAAACCATAATCATCTTTTCCACCACTGCTGCTGCTGCAACTGCTGAGTCAGTTCAGTGAGTGACAGCAAATCAAAAAGGAATGGACATTTATTTCTCTCATAGGACGATAAAAAACAACAAAACTGTTCAAATTCGCAAACTTTTATAACAAGTAATTATTTGGTTGTTCAACACTATGAACTTTATTTCCATTTGATGATTTAACTCACATTAAAAAGCAGTCTGGTCTATAAATAGACTGTCATATACTGCGATAACATGGGGATACATCACTTCTATTTATAGCGTTGAAGCTTGTTGTTCATAGCTTTCACAGTGAGCACACGAAGTCCAGCTCGAGTGCCGCCTCATTCAGAAAATAAAAGCAACCGAGACGGCAGCAGATGGTTTTTCGACAAGGTTCATTTAATTTAGCAGCTTAATAAGATGGTTTTAACCTACAAGCACTTAGGTAAACCTTTTCATCGAGAGCATTGAGTATATTTGAAATCATTTTCAATCAATGTCTGACTGCTTTGAAAACAACTTGCCCAGAAAATTGAACATCTGTGGGAGGCATTATGTAAAATTGGCACCAAGCAGCGTTTTGTTCATGATAATAATAAAAACAATTATAGAATTATTCCAACAAAAGATGCGTTTCAAGCTGTGTCACTGTGAAAAGGAAGTTGAGTGCTTTGTCCTCACATGAACCCCGAAACGATGTTCCCATTAGGGAGGAACAGAGACGGGGGCTGTGCAGCAGTATTACATAATTACTCAGGCATGCAGGTGCATTTAAGACTGAATTTCACTGAGTGCAATGTGCTTGTTGCTTTAACCAATATTCAGAAATATATGTAATAAAACAGAATGCAGATAAATAGATTTTATGCTGGCGGACTTGTAGAGCCTCTGTAGACATTAACTTCCCTTTTTAAAGGTCAGCCTGTGATAAATGACCATGGTGATGAGGATGGTGGTTATTGTTTCTCGGTGACGCGAAGGAAGCAACAAAATCCCAGGGACCTAGTGAACGAGTGTCACTGCACGTTCAGTTAAGATTTACCTGCTGTTTCATCACTTCTGTGTGCATTTGCCTTTAAGCAAAACACTGTGAGGAGAAATTCTTGACTTTTCCTCAACCGTTAATAAAACTCATTACTTGGTTTTGTCTTGATTTTTCACAGCTTTGATTTGCTGTTGACAAAGAGAACGTGTCAGAGGCAACAGACAGGCTTGTTTATTGAGGAGAGAACTGCACCCAAAATAAAATGTCCAATACTGTGTAACAAAGTACATTTACTTTATTACTGTACTTATAATATGAAAGAGTCTGTATTATTCGTGTACTAATCAAAATATACGGAAGGTACAGTTAATGATGTAGTTGACAGTGGGGTTATGGAATAGGGAACTTTTACCTTAATACTTTAAAAAGTACTTTATTGTCTATTTCTTTGTACTTATGCTTCAAACTTTTAAGTTGGTAACTACTAATAAAATTTCCCACTGTACTTTTTGTTCAGACCACCACTCTGATTGGCCTGTTGAAGACAGCCAGGCTTCTGCGATTGGTGCGTGTAGCCAGGAAGTTGGACCGCTACTCTGAGTATGGAGCTGCAGTCCTCATGTTGCTCATGTGCATCTTTGCGCTCATCGCCCACTGGCTGGCCTGTATATGGTACGCCATTGGCAACGTGGAGAAGCCCTACTTAGAGCACAAGATTGGCTGGCTGGACAATCTGGGCGTGTCCATAGGAAAGAGATACAACTACAGCGACCCCAGCTCTGGTCCCTCCATCAAGGACAAGTATGTCACAGCACTGTACTTCACCTTCAGCAGTCTGACCAGCGTGGGCTTTGGAAATGTTTCCCCAAACACCAACTCAGAGAAGATTTTCTCCATCTGCGTTATGCTGATTGGCTGTGAGTATGTTGCTGTCTTTTCCCAGCGTTATTTTCTTTGTGCAAAAGTTAATTCTGCTTTCATCTGGTAGAGCATTTGAGATAAATCCTGCACAACAACATTCATTCAAGTTTACAGTGTTTCTCTGTGAGTAGAGGCAGTAAAAATGCAAGGCGGCCGAGTAGATTTAAACTCACCTCAATTATTGATCCTTGTCTGGGTTTCAGCTCTAATGTACGCCAGCATCTTTGGAAACGTCTCCGCCATCATCCAGAGGTTGTACTCAGGTACGGCTCGTTATCACGCCCAGATGTTGAGGGTCAAGGAATTCATCCGCTTTCACCAGATTCCCAACCCACTGAGACAAAGACTGGAGGAGTACTTCCAACACTCGTGGACCTACACCAACGGCATTGATATGAACACGGTAAATATAAATAATCCAAACACACCACTGTGACTGGTTAGCATGTACCACCAGGAACAAATTATTCGTTTTTAATAATTCTTAATGGTCATTTTGCAATATTCTAAAAAGAATTTTCTCTCCCTTGTCTGCTTTTCATCTGGATTAACTTCTCTTCATTGGTAAGAGCAGGAGGTACATTTTTTATTTCTTGTCATTTTCATTCATAAATGATTTTCTGTTGCTCTAATGGTATAGTCAAGTATAGTTTGTTCCAGTAGAAGTCATCACATTTGCATACAAAAATATTATACCTTTGCATTTAAAATCGGTACTGATTATTGGATACTGACTTCTATCTGAAATTGCATTTGTAATATTTTATCAGTATTGTCAAATTTGCTGTAAATTAAAATTTTCTTTTACAAATTAGATTCCCTAATAAATAAACTACAGTTGCCATATTGTTAAGTGTAGGTTTGACAGGTTTTTACACATTTTTATAAAACTCAGAAATCAGTTCAAGAAATCACATGTTAAGGATTTTCAACCAGTAGCTGATTTTCACTAGTAATTCAAATTGAAGTAGTATTTTAATTAATCATTATTTTAGACGAAGTAGCTCCTTTTTTTTGTGTGAGTATATTCTTTCTGTTTTGGAGGTATGCGTAGTACTTATAATGCATGCCTAAGGGACAATTTATTGAGGGATCTACCCACATGAGAACTACTTTTTTTGTAAATTACCAGATAAATATAATATATGTAGTAAATGTGATTTATGTCAGTTTCATATATACAATAATAACAAATGTAATTGGCTCATAATTGTTTATAGTCACTATGTATTATATCTACTAGTTATGGTAATGTGTTTACCCATCCTTTAATGTATACCATTTAACCATATATCACCGTATATGACATATCTTGTGGGGAAAAGCATGGAACTCTTGGCATATTAACTGGGGTTGCTTGTCAAAAACAGCTTTTCTTCATGAGCAGGTTATGTAATAATAATGTCAGTGATATTGCATGCAGTGAATTATTTCCTTCAAGGTGGATGCATACATCAAAAGTCTGGATTGAATCCTTGACTCTTACAAATGAATGGATTCAGGGTATAAGAACTGGGCTTCGTTGTTGAATCCATCACACAATACTCTTCCTCCTCACTCTGATATAATGTGTTGCTGGTTTTGATGAAGAAAGAGACTAAGCCAGAACTGAGTATGCATTGTGTGTTTAGCTTCAAAGTGGTTATATAAGTGGCAGTTATGTCACATACGAACATTTTATATGAAAACCACACGATATTAGCAGTTTCTTTATCTGATTTTTTCCTTATGATTGAGTTGAGTTGTATTATATAGTAAATGTACTTGACTGTGTTTAATGGCTCTGTAGTATATTTGTTTTCATACCATATCCTCTTGTCTGTGCTGCTCTCTTAGTAAAAGCGCATCAACCCAAAACATTTCCTGCCCACAGTGTTGACTTGGTTGCGAAACGATCATCTAAATGCATCTCTTTGGGGAAAAAACATATTTTTTGCATTTCACTCAGGCATTCTCTCTGCACCACAGGTGTTAAAAGGTTTTCCTGAATGCCTGCAGGCAGATATCTGCCTTCACCTCAACAAGAGTCTTCTTCATGACTGCAAAGCGTTCCAGGGAGCCACCAAAGGCTGCTTGAGGGCCCTGGCCATGCGCTTCAAAACCACTCACGCCCCTCCTGGAGACACGCTGGTCCACGGTGGCGATGTGCTCACTGCCCTATATTTCCTTTCGCGCGGCTCCATTGAGATCCTGAAAGATGACATCGTGGTCGCCATCCTGGGTAAATAGGATCTCTTGTTCGCTATGTGTTAATGCCATGTTGACACCTTCAGTGTGACACTTCTTGTTTTTTCAGTGTTCTCAGTGTCATCAGTATCATGAATGTAGTGGCAGCCTCGCTTGCACTCTAAACCTCCACCATCCACTTAGAGGTGTGAACAACTGCAAATGTTGCTTCGCTGTTGTAGAGAAGTTCTCGAAGCTGACTGTGTGTTAAATGTCAGCATCAAACAAAGTAAAAACCCTTGTTCCACTTTTGTCTGAGTGATATTAAAGTCATATCTCTTTTAGGTTTTGGAAGAAGGGGTGCTGAGGGGGCTGCACCACCTCTACTGATAAGAGGCTGTAACTGCAAGACAAAAGACAGAGAGTAGCATAGCAGGGGGCCCGTTTGATTTCATTTCACTGGTATTTTCTCTGTAGCTTTTGTTATGCACAAACGATGAATGTGACATAGATAACGTTATAGACATGTTGGTAATACTGGGTTAGATCTCAAAAGTAAATCTGATTCTTTCAAATGCACTAAAGCCAAGTTAGCTGCCTGTTGCAGAGTAAAATGTTGTAAAACTGGTGTAGAAATCATGAATTTTGCGGCAGCAGCGTATTTAACATGATGTTATTATATAGACAATCTCTCAGCACACCCAACTGTGAAGGATTTCCAGTGTCCCTGCTCTTTTGTGAATTCAGCGAACATGGTTTTGGACACATAGGACTTCACGATCTACATGTAAAATCACCCTTTATACAGTGTCTGAAAATTGTAAGAAAACACTAAATTACACCTTTAATACACATGGTGGTATTCCAACATTGATCAGATCACATCACAGAGTGAACTTTTATGTTGCGAGTTCTTTCTTCCAGCATTTAAACCGCATCATGTGCACACACTTTGACAAGAATAGCAAGGTGCACCTGCTGTTCCCCCCTCTTTTCTGTCCTCTGGGCAACAGGGCTGCTCATGTGACAAGTTTGAGACTCTGACATTTCTATTAAGTGGCTCAGTGAAAGGTTGTTTGGCAATTTCAAAGACCACGGTGAAATAGCTGCTGCTTTTTTGACAGTACGTGGAAATGACTTAAAGCTTCAGAAAAGAAATTATTGAAAAAATGGCAGCAAAAACAACTGCCAGCTCTAAATTCATATTTCTGCTTTGTAATATAGTAATAATGAATACTGAATACCCATAACTCTTATTAGAATAATTAGCATTTATATTTTTCTTGACGGGCGAACCACAACCAGGTGCTACAGGCCAAGCCCGGATTAAACCTGCCATTATTCATGAGATGAATGCTCTCCAAAGCTGCACCTGACAGAATGGGGTTTAAGCTTAGCAAAAGCTGCTGCATCACACAAAACCCATTATTAACAAACACACTGGAAAAGTCACCGATCTCATACAGATAAAACCATTTATACTTGGTGCTAATATAATGCCCCCTCAGCACCATTTGTATGTGAAGACTTGTACGTCGTTAAAGCTGCTTTCAGACATCCACCGAAGTTTGGATATTCTCCTTGAATTATCCAGAAAGGCTGAATTTGAGAGGGCAAATGTCCGAGTCAGTTGCTCTGGATAATCTCCAGAGTTTTTTTCTGCCAGCCCCCGAGTAAAATGTCGACGAAGATGTCAATTTGGAAAGACAACAAGAATGAGAGGTTTTGGCTATAAGGACTGACGCCGGTCGCCGACATCATGTCCTGCTTCCTTCATGTCCTGCTTCCTTCATGCTCTACCCAGGCACCACCCCTCGCCTGAATGTTCCAGAGATTTTTCTGTTGTTAAAGCTTGTTATCCAGAGAATCTCCTGCTGTGCTTTATATGTGAAAGGCAGCGTCTGGAGCCTGGTCCAAATTTTTTTTTCGGACATTTTCCAGAATTCATGTCTGAAAACAGTCTTTTATCAGCTTTTACGCACAGCTTTTAACGTAACAAGGTGGTGGTCACCCAGTAGCCCTCAGCAATTTTTATCATGTGAGGATATCGGCAGCAACGAGGGAAGTAGCATCGTTCCACAGCTGAGGAATAGCCCTCTTGCACCGCCATCCAAGCTAATGACAATCTAAATCCTTGTGGTGGGAGCTGTGTGTGGAAAGAGATACACCACTCTGTGTGAGGTTGTCCTCTGTGGTAGAAAGGTGTCCGGTGCGTGCTGTGAAAGGCACACTGGCCGCCAACATATCATATCTCTTTCACCTCAACCCCCGCTTACAGTGTTGGCATTTCAGTGAACCCAGGGACCAACTAAGGGATTTTTCACGATATCTTTTAAAGAGGACCTCTTTTTCTTTGCATGTTGATAGGTTGAAAACTAGACTTTACAATTTCCAAGAATATTTCCAGAGAACCGGCTTCATTATGTGACAGCCATTATTATCAACATGAGATGCTCCCTTTGAAGTGCACAAGTAAACTGTCAGTCACAATCAAACCCTCCAACATCAAAGTTGCTACGCCTAAGTGGCAATTCCTCTGCATTAACGATGGATCAAAGATGGGAAGATAACTGATGCATGGGGCCTTGGGAGAATATCTACACAGAGTGGAGAGTCTGTTTGATTTTCATTATACACAAAAACAAACACGTCTGCTGCCCTTTAGTGAGAGCCTGAGGAATTGATGCGTCCCTGTAGAAAACACAACACAGATTCCTCTCCGACTTATTGTTGAAGTCATTGCAGGTAAAACTGACGTCTTTCCAAATTCCCAGGGAACCTTTGAGAAGATTTATTGTGTGTGTCACTAACAGGGAAAAATGACATCTTTGGAGAAATGATCCATGTGTTGGCCAAACCTGGGAAGTCCAGCGCTGACGTGCGAGCTCTAAGCTACTGTGACCTGAGCACTATTCAGAGAGAGGATCTGCTGGAGGTGTTGGACATGTACCCAGAGTTTGCCGACTGCTTCTTCAACAACCTGGAACTGACCTTTAACCTCAGAGACGAGTCTGCCAAGGTAGATCACGCTACGCTGAAGTTATCAAATCATCAAATCAAATTGTATTTGTACCAGTGCAGTGCCCACTCTAAACATTCCTGTTTATGGTCTGTTTGCTTGGCCTGTGTTAATGCTCCAGAGCTATTTCAGAAGTTTGAAAGCTTTGTGTTCATTGTACCTGGTTTATAGCGATGTAGATTTTACAATCAATGTTTCGCATAAAATGAAACAGAATTTAGTTTATTTATCTTCATGCGTGTGGCCTGTGTGTAAGTTAGAATGATTTATTTAATGTCAATTTTTCATACATTGCATTTTGCTATTTCTATCTATTAAGCATTGAGGTCTGTTAACCATCGACACAATCTTCAGACCCAAGTTCTCATCCTTTTCAAAATAAAAGCTCTGTAATTCAGTTCAATACAAAGCATTGCCGCAACAAAACAAATGTTGTGCTCTTACTTTGAGGAAAAATTGCTGAAGAGGTGATTCTATGAATGTTGTTATTTGTAAATGTCCGTGTCAGTCAGATATAGTTAAATAAAAAATAATCAGATTATCAAAATGATCTGGCAGCGTTTTTTGACCCACGGTTTGACCTAGTTGTCAACCGCTGCTGTAGTTTATCCAGCAACGTAGAAGAAGACATGTTTAACTGCCCTGCCCCCACTGACTGCTACATAGCACTGGTCACCAAATTTGACACTGCACTTCCCTGGGCCCTGAAGAACATGCATGCCAAATGTGAAGCCGATGTTTCAGAAGATACACATTGTGGAATCAGTAGGTAGATCACGCACATTCACAATTTGCCTCATAGGGCAATAGAATCTTACAAGGAGTGACATCCTCTGTCCTTAAGATGACTAGAGTGAGGAAAAACCTTAGAGTCTCACATGAGGGATCTATCTCTCAGGATGGAGAGAAGTGACATAGTAACAGAACGTCAATTAAAAATAATATCATTTACAACATTAATGAGAAAAGACAGCGTCTAACATGACTGGAGAGCTGGATCAATGTTTAAAGTATTTAAATGTTAAGAGAACTATTTCTTCAGTCGGTGTTTTGAACATTTTAATATTGACATTGTTATGACCATGAACATTCATTTAATTACTTCATTCATCCTCTAGCAGTTTGAGAATAATAGCTGTAATAGATTTGAACTCCCTCAATTTTCTAGGCTTCCAGTTCCCAAGACTGTGATTCAGATGGTGAGGGCACTAAAAGCATAAAGAGAAGAATCTCCTTCACACCAGATCTTCCTACAGGTAAGTAGAAACTCACCTGCACAGCTCCAGCTCAGCCTTGTTGAGCTTGGTGGTCATAGATTTGTTCTTTATGTATTATTGTTCAGAGAGCGTCGCTCGCAGAGAACATCTGCTCTCTGTGGAATAGGGCACAGTGTTATTCCCCTAACTCCTGTTAATTGCCATTCTACAGGGGAAAACAAGGAAGTGGTTAAAGACGTGGGAGGAGAGAGGGAGTCGAACTCGTGCCTGAAGAGTTGCTCAGGAGTTCTGGGTCCCTCCTCACCCAATCCCCCAGTCCTGGACTCAGAGCTGATTGTCAGAGACAGCCTCGAGAGACATGCATCCTTTGAAGGTATAGATCTTTTTACTAATGAGCTATATATTATTTATAGTTAATGAGTGTTGCTACACATTCCTGGGAGGTACATGATAGACAAAAATGTTATTCAGGGAAGGGCAGAATGTCTTTATTACTGCAAATAAAACATGCTGTATATTCACATGCAGAGGTGAATTGCTGCTTGACATAAAGGGCATCGCTACAAGATTTAAAACTGGTTTATTGTGAAACACAGAGAGATTTACTTGGCACTTATACACTTAAACAAGCATTGTGTGAACTCCTTCGGTGACAGACATTTATTTCTATATTAAAGTCCAGTGCTTCAGCTATATCAATTGCAAAGTAATAGCAACATTATAGCACTCACATTACAAGGAAATGTTTACTTGTATATATTTCAGAAGTCAATGTAGTTATAAAATTGAAATTAATGAGAAGGCTGCTTTTTCACAAAGTGCTACTGTTGGTCTGGACACAGAATTAGCAGCAGCACAGGGCTCCACAGTGCTGAGGCATTAGCCCATTCCCCAGAGCTGAATCAAAACAATTGCTTGATATAATCATTATCCAATTTTTGTGCAAAGCAAAGAAAAGCTGAACAAAACAAGCTTCAAAAAATCAGTTTTTTGTTTTGTTGCATGGTTATTGCCATGGATAGCCTTTTCTTATTTTTCTGATGTCTTTGTGTCTGCACCCATGCATATCAACAAGAGCCAATCCACTGACCTATTTTTCTACAATACAGACATGACTATGAAACAGGCAAACATTTACAAGAGATGCGATTCAACTATGTTTTAATCTATTAGTTTTAGATGTATAGCATTCGTCCCTGTACAAGAGGGCAGAACTTTAAAGACATGTGATATTGTGCAGTTCATAGTGATGAGCAGCTTTAGTTTCTTCAGTAAAACAAATGACAGAGAGTGCTCTGCTTTTTTATTCTCCATGGATCTTAATTATACAGTGGCCCTGAAGTGGAAATCAAAAAACACAACAAAACCACAAAACAACAGCAAATAAGAGAACACAACATCATTAACTTCTAACAGAACAAGTAGGCACTATCAACAATACTCAAAAAATAATTATGGCTTAAACGTTGACTTTATAAATTCTATTAAATATGAAATTTCCATGAAACTTTATGACAGAAGTTCAATGTAAAGGGTCACATTTAATGAAGTGTTTTTGATTTATTCACATTAACTCAACATGATAGAAAACACTTAAAATACACCACAATAACTGCAAAACTTTATCCACTTTCCATAAGTGCACATGTGATTTGTAAATCAAAGGGATTTTGTAGGGACATAGTGTTTCCTTTGAGAAGGCTCAGTAGAGAACTAGTATGAAAACAGACAGTTGGGGCTTTTGTTCTTTTCTCCGTCTCTGTTTGATGGGAAAGGTAAGCACTATCCACGGTGAAGGCACACAGAGCAGCAGCCAAGGATGCTCATATCTGTACGGCTCATCGTGGTCGTACAAAGCCTCCAGTGCAGACTTCTGCACAAGATAGTGTAATCACAGACCTAACCATCTGTGTGTTTAAAATCACAAAAGAGGCTCAACCCATATCACTGGACAACCAGCTGAATTCCACCAGGTGCCCAGCAGAGATAACAACAGGGTTAGTTTGCTACTGGAAAACACTGCATGAACAATTCTCCCCCAGTGCAAGAGCTTGATAAATTACAACAACGGAGCAACACACAGCTCTCCTGTATAGATTAATTACATCCTATTTTTGTGTGATTTTTTATTATATTTTTTTGGGGGGGTTGTATAGTGATGACGTTGTTTCCAACCCATATGTGAGGATCTAAAGCGTGTGCGTGTTTGGCTGCTTCCAGATCTCTGCTGTGATAAATGGGCCTGTAAGAAGCCTGCAGACTACCTGGATGAGTCAGCACAGTTCCAGGACCTGAGAGAGGACGATAATTCTGCCAGCGAAATCACCTATGGAGAGGTGGAACAGCGCTTAGGTCAGCTGCAGGAGCACTTAACCAGGTACGTATTTTTAGAGTCAGCATGCAGATGGTTGACCCTCATTTATTTGTCTTAAACTATAAATTAATCCAGAATTTGATATTTAATTTGATCAGGTTCATTATTTTGATTTAGGTTATTACTTGAAAAGGTTTGCATGCTTTAACATTCAGAAAACGCATTACTCTCCTCACACTGTCTATTGCTGCAGCTCCTCTTTTCAGCCTCTGTCTGAAACACATGGTTTTAGCGCCTGACTCCTTCCGTTGAAGCCCAGTCTACTCTGTTGTTATTGGTCAACCACTTCTAGCCTTTGTAGGAAATGTTGGCCTCTGCTCTTGCTTTAAGTGGCTTTGTCAGGAGGACTAGCCGCCAGACATGCATCATGCAAATTAGCCATTGTGTGACATCACAATGATACAGACATATCGGCTGGACTACTGACCAGCATTTCAGGGTTAGGGTTAGGGTTGTGATTAGGGTTAGG